TGTTGATTTTCTCAAGTCAAATGCTGCTGTCTTTCAAGTTTTGTACACTTGTACTGTTATGCGTCCATAGGAGTGGACTTAGGGATGGACCTGGGCTGTGCCCTGGCGGACTTTTTTCCCAGGTACTTGGGCCAGGAACCAGCCCGGGTTGATACCGGGTCCGGGCCTAACCGGGCCGGGCTGGGCCGGTTCAATGTTTATTTTTTTTATGGCTTTCTTGTTATCCCCCGACCCACCGTCACCCCCACCCCAAACCTCCTCAAAACACCCAGCCCTACCCTAGGAAAAGAAAAAAAAAATGAAAAAAAAAAGAAGCCCGGCCCGAACTGCCCTGGCCGGTTCAACAAAAATGGGGCCTGAGCTCGGCCCGCTCGACCCGCCAAAACGGGTTAAAAGCCCGGAATCAGCCAACCGGGCTCGGGCCAAACTGTGCCCACACAGTAGCGGGCTGGTTCGGTTCTGGGCCGGTTTGGCCCGGCCCGGCCCAGTCCATCCCTAAGTGGACTGGTCGAGCCGGATTTGGATGGTTTGTGTGAGGGTCATTGGTACTGCACGTCTGCACCTAGGGGTGGACCTGGACCGGTCCAGACCTGGTTCCGGTTCGGTCCTTATATTTCCTCCGTTCCATAAAAGTTGCAACAATGAAATTTCTGCATTATTCACACACCTTACTTTGATTATGATTTTCTAATAGTACATATGAGAAAAATATTATGTATAAAATATTAATAAATTTGTATGAATGTAAATTTCCAATGCATTAACTTTTTTTAATGTTTACTAATACTTAAATAAATATAATTACATTCAAAGTTGTGTGTTGGCAAATGTGAAAGTCAAATTGATGCAACTTTTATGGAACGGAGAATAGTATATTTTAATTATTTGAAAAACAAAATATGATGTATATTTATTATAAACACTAAATTGTGTATCAATATCACATTTGAAAAATACGATTCAGAATACTTTAAAGTTGAAAATTACAATACATGAAATAATTGGAGTCGCCGCCGCTTTTGGGGTCGATTGTCGTTTCATCCATGAAATGGAGGTCTAGTGCTATATTGAATTCTTGTGTTTTATGAGGGGCTTCAACCAATCATGGAAGAAAACGAGTGTCACGAAAGATGAAGCGTTCAACTTCAGTCTATAGTCAGTTAAAACTGCAACAGTTGAAACTGGTATCGAAAACGCTTGTTTGGCCATTTTTTTATAAAACCGAAAACATCCCTTCATGTTTCTTCCACCATTCGTGAATATCAAAGTCCTCCGTTTCATTAAACTCAATAGGAAACGTTAGATATAAAGAGAACTCGTTAATCGAGCTTTGTTCAATAACAGTAATTGATTTACTTTTTTCAAGAGTAGATATTGTTGATTTAAAAAGACCTTTTCCTTTAGGTGAGGAAGCACTCGGTGTTGAGGGAGGGGTGCATTATCATATTGTTCATAAAATTTATTAAATAAAGTGTGAAATAGATTACTAACATCATTGAATTGGGCTTGAGGATCTATAGGCGTGTCTTCTTTGCACATAGAGAAAGGATCGTAAAAAGCAGTATAATACTCCTTCCGTCTCATTGGACTTTACTAACTTTTCTTTTTGGTTATTCCAAAAAACTTTGCCACTTTCCTATTAAAGCAACTAATTTGTGGTTCTGCACATTTCTCTCTCCTCTGCACATGGCAAAGTCCACCGGGACGAAGATAATAGTATTCTATAAATTGCTTATAATTTGAAAGTTTGAAATAAGGATCAAGACATAAAGTAATAGAATAAATAGGTGGAATGTAGGCATAATATTTTAAAATTTTAAAAACTTTTCTGTAATGAAATCACAAAAATAATGTACATAAGCAGCTTGAGAAAATTTTTGAAAAGCACCGGTGAGAGTAACAGTTTCTATAAAAAATTGATTGGTAGTTGGTTTATACACTCCCCCATTTAGCCAATCGCAACCCTAATCCTACACCACTTCAAGTGGTCTAACAAGGTTAAAATTGAGGACCTGGAACCAAGAATCAGACTATGTTTCCGTTAGAATTTTATGTGTGTTTTCGATGTTTTATAAGTGCCTTTTAATCTATTATAGTACTCTCTCCGGTCTGTATTAAAGTTCTCACTTTCCTTTTTCGGATGTCCCTTATTTAAGTTCACACTTCCATTGTAGGAAACAAAACAGTGCAAAACAGTGTCAAACAGTTTCCAAACAGTGTCCAAACAGTGCCAAACAGTGCACTCCACAGTAAAGTCAAATTTATTTTCTTAATCTATGTGAAGTCAAACTGAAAACTTTAATATAAATCGGAGGGAGTATGTACTCTTGTTAAATAGTACACGTGAATATGTTTCACTATGTGAAGTTTCGACAATGCAATCTCCTCTTTGATAGTGTTACAATAATCTGATCGAAGCATAACATCTTTGGTGTGTTTTCAATGATAATTAGATTGGATTGACCCGTGACTCAATCACATGGTCCGATTATTTCACTGAACATTCTTTCAAACGTCACTATTCCAATTTCATTGATATGGAAATTAGTTAGAAATAAGAATCACCTCACCCTTAAGTCTCACTCCACACTGATCCACAAGCCTCAAGGAAACCAACTCTCCAAACATTGCCGACAACCTCCCATGAGAACCTTCCAGTAAACGCTCAATCCGATCGGGAATCTTAGATTTGACATTGCTTATTTTTTGTCTATACTCAACCCCAAACTGTTCTGATTTCTGAGTAACATGCAGTTATTCTGGAGTGTATATATTTGTCAGCCTGTGTAGTGTAAACTACGTATATGTCACCTTTCTTGGACGCAATTCGACAATCCAATCGGTCATATTACATTTGTTTTATTTTGTTTGATTCTATGGGTATCATGACAAATTTGACCGGCACGATAATTAATAAAGTAAAAACTGTGTGGTTGATGTTTATGCAGAGGAGCGAGAATTAACTGGAACTACAAATTCTTTACTTAAAAAAGAAAGTGTCAAAGTTAGTGGGACATCCAAAAAAGGAAAATTGACAAAGTTTTAAGGGACGGAGGAGTATCAGGACCGGTCCTGAGATATTGAAGGCCCTGCTCAAAATTAAATAAAAGACCCTATATTATCTCAATCAAGTGAATGAAATGAATTTGTAAGACTCATAAAAGTCAATTTTACAATTCAATTTGGGACTGGTGGAGTAATTATATACACAGTAAGGATAAACTTAAAAATATAAAAAGTAAGTATAATTTTACATGTATTGAAAATAATAAACTTAAAAATATAAAAAGTAAGTATAAAATGTTACGAAACACTTTTTTGATTGCTAACAAAAAAAATATCATAATAAAAGAAATCCAAATTAATAAGAACTGATATAGCTAACTATAAGGAAATAAATAAACTTACAAATGTATATAGAGAATATGATAGTATAGTAAAGGAATACCAATAATACCGTAGTTAACTAACAAACTACCAGTAATACAATGTATTGGATGTAATATTAATTGATTTCACTAAAGATATTATATATTTGTACCAGTAATGATCAATGAATCAAAATAAGCTGACTTGGTAGGCTGGTAAGCCTCCTACTCCTTCCTGGAGATGACACGAGTTCGACACCCGTGCACGGCCGGCCCTGGGGAGTATTACTTTATGTTTAACAAGATAACACCGAAAAAACATGTACGGAGTAAAAGACATGTATAGGCCAAGATTGAATGCCATCCACATGAATGGAATACGATTGATTTGTAATTAATACTCGTAGAATAAAAGTAAACATTCTATTCCATTCATCAGCTTGGTTTAACTTTTTGTTACATCTCTTGGTTGGATTCAAATTGAGCTCTATTACTAAAATAATTGTGAGGTGCGTTTTGAGGAGAAGTGTTGGAATACTAGGAGCCCTCTTGTATCTCATGCTATATTGCTATAGGAGGCATCATGTATCTCACGGTTAATACTAGGTCTGGCATTGCATGTGCGATTAGTTACTTGAGTAGATACAAGTTAAATCATAGTATGCCTCATTGGAATGCTTTGAAGTGACTTTTAAGGTATTTAAAATCCTCGGTGTATGTTGGTTTGACTTTCTCTACGAGCTCTGAAGGTCCTAAGTTAATTAGTTATGTTGATTTCAGTTATGCTAATGATAGAGAATAGAAAATGTACAACTTCATATTCGTCTACTTTGTGTGGTTCTTGTGTGAGTTTGAAATTTCAATTAGAGGTTGTTACTCTATCTCCTAAAAATCTGAGTATATTGCTGCCACAGTAGCTCTCAAAATGTCCTTTTAAAATGAGGGTAATTTTTTTCCTCGACTTTCTAAAATGACCTTTTTATTTAAATGTAAATTTACAGTAAAATACAATGTTTTGATGGCGTTTGACACACAAGTGATTATTTCTCAAGAGTAGTAGAGTAAATTTATAGAAATTATTTTACTAGTAAGGAAAGAGAGATTTATTTAGGGGTATAACTTATACTAACAAAAATATATCTCCTCCATTGCAAAATAATAATTACATGTTTCCTTTTGGATGTTCAAAAATTAAGATTACGTTTCTTTTATGAAAATGATCCTATATACCATTCATACCTTACTCTTCTTTTCACTTCGATATTCAATTTTGTAACTTCCACTTTACTTGTTTTTCACTGCTATAGTAAAAGTAAATGATAGTTTAGGTTTTTATATCATTTTCTTAATCTATGATCCCAAATTAAGTGCCACAATTAATTTGGGATGGAATTAGTAACTTTTAACTAACTTGTGATCCATATTTTTTACTAAAAATATCTCTTTGTAAAAATGACTAATGAGAAGGTTAAAAGTTGAGTTTTTGTTAGTGTAAATAATAATCCCTCTAGAAAAAAACCATGTGTACTCTATCTACTTTCTCCGATCCAAGACATGATATCTATTAGACGTCACACGTTATTAACTTGATGATAACCGTTACGTTTTTAGCGTGATACTCACCGTTTTTGCCTTCTCACTTCCTGATTTAGTTTCTCCTTTTTGACTTCCTTTACACTTCACTTCCTCACATAAACTTTCTCCATCTTCCTTCAACACTTCCTCTGTATCTTCTGCATTCCCTTGATCTCATCGCCTATGGAGAAAACATATTTAGATGATTCTGGGTCTTCTAAGACAGAGTCAGGCAGAGAGATAAACCCACAAGTTAATTGTCATCACAACATGAAATCGATTTTGCGAGTTGTTCGTAACGGGGTCAATGCTGGAAAGAAGTATCATGTTTGCTCTTTATGGCCTGTAAGTATGTCAATTAGTCATGATACTTAATGTTTTTATACAACAGCTAAAACTAGGGTTCAAAATCAGTTTGAGTTTGCTATTCAACCTTTGTAACAAATAGAGTTTTCTATTCAACCATTACTATTGAGAAGTTTGTATCAGGTGTGCTTATAAAAATAGGAATGAGCCAAATTTTAACTTTATTTATTGTGCATCAGAATGATAATTGCGGTTTTTTCAAGTGGGGAGATGGGAGTGAGGTGATGCGTGAAAGTGAAGAGTTTGATGCATTAGAGAACCACTCAGCTATAGTTGTACTGGAATTTAAGAAGAGAATGCTGAAAGAAAAGATAAAGAAGTTGCAAGTGGAAAATGTGACATTGAAGAAGAAAGTGCAGGAGACGACAAAGGTAGCTCGCCAATTGCGCCATCAAAATTTAGAAATGATCAAGGAATTTGGAACAGTACTCAACTTATCAAAATGTCATAGTTCGTTGTGTTTATTGTAATTTTCTTTTTCAATTAAGTATTGGTGTAGTAGGTTTGATCAGTCATGTTATTTTCCATTTCATTTTCTGTATTAACAAACGGCTGAATGTAGTAGGTCTTATTTGCAATGAAGTATGCCATAAATTGTAGTTGAACTTAACATTTTTAGTTCATTGTGAACTTCTATTACTTTGCTCCATGAATGTGTACTTCACCTATTGTTACTCATACAAGGATTTGTAAGATGCTACTCTTAATTACTACTATCATAATTGCATTAGTGGTTTCATCATTTTGGGTGTTTCATTCTTAACTGATGCCATAATTGTAGTATAGCTATCATATTGGGAAAACTCAAATTAAAGGTAATTTTTTGTCGCTGTCATTTTAAATTTTATGACTTTTTCACGTTCTAACTATCGATTACGGAGTTTAAAAGGATAAAATTTTATTACATTAATTAGGAAGTACTCAAAAATTGATGTTATTCTTGATACATTAAGCACTCAACCAACACTAAGATGTTTATATTGAGTATACTTTGATATCAAAAAGCTAATAGTTTGGAATGAATGAAACCCATTTCTTTGGTTACTATACCCTTCCTCACCTCTAGGTGCATAGGCATTTGAACCTTTCCCTTCACTTTGAAGGCCATGCCATCGTTAAGGTGTTGCTAAGTATATGAATCCTATCAACGTCCATGAATTAAAAATCATATAACGGACCACTGCACTACAAAAATTGGGTCATATCATAAATATTTAGATTATCGAATTTGAACCGCTGATATCAGTTCACATGCCATGGATAGACAATGAAACAACACAATAGTTAGAAACATGTACAAAACACTTTGAAATTCCCCTACAATTGCCATACTATGTATTTTGATTCCAAAACATAAAAGTAAACTTGATTAAGAAATCATCAAGAAAAGTACTGACACTACCGCCAAGTTGTCTCTGCATATTACAAATTCATTCAAATATCACAAGGGTTCGGGTACATGGGAAGTTAGCCTCATCAATTTAGTTGGGCCTCCCTTTACATGGGCCTCATATATTTTCTAATTCTTATATGTCCTACCCAAAGAAAGTATATTTATTGTTCATGTCTTCGGTTTTGTTGATGTTGTTGCATATGTTGAATAATTTAATTTCGTATTTATTGAGCAATTACTAGGGTTACAATTGTTTTATGAACATAAAGTTAATTATTTTGTTATAACAAATATCTACTTTTTGTAATTACATAAATGATATTGGACCACAGAGAATAGAATTTGAAATCTACAAAGATGTCACATAAACATGGAAACAAAAAAGTAACTAGATTGAAGCAAATTTTTTAATTGTGACAACTAATTTTGATTTAAAGTCTAATGAGAAAATGTAAAAGTGTACAAAATGAAGTTATTGTTTTCCTTTAACACACATCCATGTGTTGTCTCAAAATTACAAGAGAAAATTGCACTTTTGGGCTCTCAATTGGTCACCATATTGCAATGTCAGGCACGTGTTTCTGAAATTGTAAATGTCACCCCTGAATAGACATATGTGTTGTAAATATCATCCTCGGTGAATTTATTGGTAGTCTAGAATTGAAGATCAATTATAAACGACAGGGATGACATTTACAACACGTCTGTCAATTCGAGGGTTTCATTTAAAATCTCAAAAATATATGTCTGACATTTCAATATGATGACTAATTGAGAGCCCAAAAGTGCTGATTTTCCAAATTATAAATTGATTATCTTTCTAATGCCTAAATCTTAAAGAAGTTATGGATGCCTCTAATGGTCACTACAAAGATATATGAATGAATATATTGCATTTTTTTTAAAGAAAAGAAATTTTATTAACAGAAATTGAAGGGAAAGTACACAGAAGAAAGATGAAAAGAATATGGAAACACAAGAAAGCATAAATATGCAAATAATATTAGCAAAAGACTCGCTAAAAATGCACTAGAAAAAGACTTCCTAGACTTCCATAGTTCTCTTTCAAGATAAGTTTGAGATCTTCTTTGCACGGTATGCGATCTGATGATTTTTCTTGTAGATTTTGGTTTGAGTATTTAAATTCTGTGTATGCAAGCAATTTTCCCTGTGATCAAGTTCTTTAAATAATGCTTTGCGGAGATCAACTAAATTCAAGAGTTTTTCCTAATTTTTGAGCATCAACTTGGTAGAGAAAAAGTTTTTGCAGGTATTGAAGAGCAATTAGATAACTAAACTTGACCAAACTAAATTATGACTACATATTATTTTTATATTGTATTCACTATGTTATTACTCCATGTAGGTGTAAAAGGATTTTGGAGGTGTCATTGCTACTAACGGATCCACATAAACAAATGTAATATTATCATCACGGGTTGATTTAGGAAGATGCAAGCCAATGACTAAACCCTCAATATGTACCACCACTTTCGATACGCAACATGCTTTAGGCACTTGCCAACGCATTGTCTAATGTCTAATTAGAGGTGCTTCTCAGGGATAAGAGATTGGGTGAGACACCCAATCATGAGGTAACCTTTTTGAGATATGATGTTTCAGGTAATTAGTGCTATGCATTGATGGTGGAGACATGTTTGCCGAAAAGATATTATCATACTCGGGAGCCTATGACTTGCTTCATAGAGTGAGAAGAGAACTCCCATTTCAATGATTGAGGACATATGAGATTCTCATAAAAATGAAAATAAGGGTCACTTGATCACAAGGAAAAATTGCTTGCGTACACAAAACCTCAATATTCAAATGAAAATGTACAAGAAAAAGCACCAACTATCGTGTGTGTTGAAAACAAGATCTCAATCTCATGTGGAGTTCAGACAACATACTAGAACTCAACTTTTCCTAGTGAGGGTTCATGCTCGGCACTAAATAGGCTAGGGCTGGATTTCTTATCTTTATCATTTTTCTCATTTTGTTTGTTCATTATTTTCCTGTATTTTCATATTTTCTTTGTACTCTCTTTCGTTCAATCATTAGTAAAATGTATGTTTTTCCAATAAAATATAATCAGTAGGAAAAATTGAAACTATTTATCCATCCTTTTATGATCTTGTGAGAGTAGTTCCTCGTATTAATATTTTAAAGACCCTTTATATCCTATTTACTTTCTCTGGCCCACATATGATATATATTAGCTGTCAAAAGTTATTAACTTGATAATAACCGTTATGTTTTTAGAGAGATAATCACTGTATTTGCCTTCTCACTTTCTCATTTCCTTTCTCATTTCCGATTTCTATTCACTTTGCAATATCACAAAATTTTCCTCCTTCTTCCTTCACTTACTCATTTCCGTCTTCTATTCACTTCGCATTATCACATAATATTCCTCCTTCCTCTATGACTTTCTCCGTATCTTTGTCATTCTCTTAATTTCATCAATGCCTATGGATAAAAAATATTTAGATGGTTGTGGCTCTTCTTCAATAGAATCAAGCAGAGAGAGAAATCCAGGAATTAATTGTCATCACAACATGGAATCGATTTTGCGAGTTGTTCAAAACGGGATCAATGTTGGAAAGAAGTATCATGTTTGCTCTTTATGGCCTGTAAGTATGTTAATTAGTAATGATACTTGTTTTTTTTTACAAAAAGACTAATAATCGGGATCAAATTGAGTTTGAGTTTGTTATTTAGTGCTTTTGAGAAGTGTCTGTGGGGTATGCTTATAAAAATAGGAACAAGTCAAATTTTAGTTTTTTGTGTGCATCAGAATGATAATTGTGGGTTTTTCAAGTGGGAAGATGGAAATGAGGTGATACTCAAAAGTAAAGAGCTGGACGCATTAGAGAACCAATCAGCAATAGTTGTAATGGACTTGGAAAAGAGGATGCTGGAAGAAAAGATTAAAAAGATGCGAGTGGAAAATGTAATATTAAAAAAGAGAGTGCTCCATATCATAAAGATAACTCACCAATTGCTCGATGAAAATTTGGAAATGCTAAAGGAATTTGGAGTGCTCAATTCATCTAAATGTCATACTTGATCGCTTCTATTGTAGCTTTCTTGTTCAATAAAGAATTGGTATTGCAACTTTGATCAACCATGACCTTTTCCTTTGCATTTTATGACATAAAATGCAATGATGTATGAAATAAATTGTAGTTGAACCTTTCCTTTTTAGTTCATTGTGAACTTCTATTACCTTGTTCCATAATTGTGTTCTTCACCCATTGTTAACCTATACAAGTATTTGAAAGATGTCATTCTTAACTACTGCTATCATAATTGTATTATTAATTTGATCATTTTGGGAGTTGCATTCTCAAGTGATATCATAATTGTACTATTGTCATCATATTGGGAAGCCTAAAGTAATTTTGTGGTGCTGTGAGTCTTCGTTTTAGAACTTTCGGACTATCTTACTACAAGAGTTTAAGAGTACAAATTTTGATCATACTAGATGATCAACTAAGATTTGTTATATAATGTACTTAACCGTTTGATGTTATTCTTGATACAGAAATGCTTAACCTATATTGAGTTGATGATACCGAATATATTTACATGGGCCTTGGGCCTCCCTTACATGGGCCTGATTTATATTTTGTAATTATTATATCACTCTAATATATATTGGAGGTATTAATAATATATCTTTAAAAGAAAACCAAAGATATTATTTGCAACTTGGGTACGAATTATATTGTGGTTTCCTATTTGTTCAGGTATTCTGTTTTGGTGTTGTTGTTGCATATATTGAATAATTTAATAATTTAGTATTCGAATTTACAGGGTAGTTACTAGGGTTACGATTTTATGAGCACAAATTTAATTCTTATCTTACTACACATAATTACTTTTTAAATTTATACTTAAATATTTAAAAAGTATACTAAATGACATTGAACCGCTTAAAATGATTTGAAATACACAAAAACTATCACGAAAAAACAAAAACCGTGAGAACAATTTTTCTAAATGTAGTAATTTAGTTCATTTGTTTCTTTCGCTTTTTATATTTACTTATTTCTTAATGTACTTCTATAAATACTTGGTGTAACGTGTAAATGAAAATGAGAATACAAAATGAAGATTCATTTAATGAGATAATTTATAAAGACAATTGTTGACTCTATATTAAACTACATGTCAGTCTCAAAGATGCCATTGCCTAATTGACATTTGTAAAATTAATCTTTTTATTGTATTCGGTATGTTGTGGAATGTATTGTATTCTAATTATTTTTCAAAAAAAAAAAGGATGACACCTCATCCCTGAGGGTCCCCAACACCGATCGGACGGTAAGTTGAGAGTATGTAAATTGGACTCTGATCACAATCTGATAGATAGAGAGTGAGGCTCTTTCCTCGATACTTGCAGAGGCCCTATGCATTTTAGCATAGTTACCTCTCATCGCAGTTGTCGCCTGTCGGGATTCGAACCCGGGACTTAACCCTTGTGTCACTCCCTCACTACCAATTGAGCTACGCCCATCGGTTCTAATTGTTTTTTTCTATTTTAGTCTGTGAAGTATCTTATAGTTCTATTTCAGAGTCCCCACCACCTCTTCCTCCTTATCTTTGATCTTTTTCCTCCTCTAATGACCCTCCCTTACTTGCTGCATATGTTACATTCAGCTGAGTGATGAGTGGTAAGTGGTGCAGATGTATGAGTAGAAGCACAAGGACCTTTCTTGTTAGAGATATTAGTATAATCACTGAAATTGCTATAATTTTTTTGCAAAGTATCTCAAATGTGTTTCTTATTAAATATAGATTAATGTGGAAATGAAAGAAAGTAGCATATGGTATGTGCATCTAGGTAATGTAGCTGAAAACAGATTGTAAGATGAAAAAATGGTCACAAAACTGCCAATCAATCTAATAAATTCACTAATGTGTAAGATGAAAACTCAGACCACAATAGCTATCCTCGAAGTTCCTAGCCTTCCAAATAAATCTCCACTAAACTACATATACTACACGAATTAGGTTGAAGCCTTGGAGGTCATAAGTTAATAAAGTGCACATACAATTTATTTATCTCCGGTAAGAACCTTGCAAACAAACCACTACACTACTTCATAACTCCTGAGTTGATTACACTACAAAAAGTAAGGTCGTCACTCCCGTCAGTACATAATTGTGTATAGCTACACAAATATGCTAAGAGCGCCCTCCCGGTTTGATGAATTTAGTCCACATTCAGCCGTTGGAAGACCAGTAAGCCATGTCCTGAGTTATCAAGGGTTGCAAGCATTAACTACTTAGGATCCACTTGGAATTGGAAGATAAATACCAGTGAGTGAAGTGGGGGGGGGGGGGGGGGGGGGGGGTTAACAAGGTACAAGTCAAGGATAGTCCTGTGTAAGAGATGTGTGACATTTTAGTCTCGGAAAAAACGTTTTCCTGTTTATTTTTCTTCCCTTGCTATTTCCCGTGTTCCAGAATTAGTAGTCGACTATTATTTACGTAGCATATTGGAATATACCTGCCAACCATGCTCCCAGGATCCATCAAAATCTCCAACCTTTTTGCGTTCTTTGTGAACTCGCTGCATTTTACATGATGTAGGAGACAACAAAACGTTTAGATGCTATCATTCACTCCAGGTATACCTTTTGATGAACAACAATACATTGTTGTCAAGACTAAAAAAAAGTTAGAGTTAGAAAATTCGTCAAAAAGTACCTAAACGGTTCATTCCCCATTTGTCTGAGATTGCCCGTTGCATCGCGGTAGGTTACACAGCTTAACATCTTCAATCTCTCTATCCCAAACATATTTGCAAGTTTTTCACGTAGTTCATCATAGGATCCGAAAATTGAGAGATCAAGATTACGCCCAACATATACGGACCCTATAAAAACATCACAGCGATCAGTAGTATCCTGGCTATTTCGATCAAATTGCACATCACTTCTGGAATTCTTCCTTGTAGACATTTGCTGCTCAGTCAGTATTGGCTGACCAAAGAGCACGAATCGGGGTGTGGGCACATCTTCAGTATACTTATTCCCCATGGTTAACGAGCAAGAGATGTTCTCATTTTTTCCATCCGCTCGGGTATTAACAGTATCATTATAATCAATTTGCTGGAGAGTTGGTGGTAAGAGTCCTCCAAACAATGGTCCTCCAAATTGAGCATGCCTGGCTCCCTGCATGCCTGCAGGAGTGTTGTCCGATGGACAACGGGAATAACTGCAGATCCCAAGGGGGTTGCTTGAGAATGACGGGATTGGGAATTGGCTGTCGATTACGAGAGGTTGTTGTAAACAAGCTTTTTTCCTTGGTTGTAAGAAAGGTGATAGATGAATCATGGGCATGTTTGAGATCAATTCAACTAGCCACGGACTAACTTGCTTCACATTTTGAAGCAAATCATGTTCATCCCATGTTACCTATTGTGCATAAAAACAGAAAGCTTATCAAAATACACAACAAACAATCAAAGAGATTTCCTCTCATACAAGTATGATACATCAAAGAGACATCAAGGGTAGGTTTGGAACCTAGAAAATGGTGGGAAAGGGGGAAGTGTCAAACAAAATAATAATTTAGCGTTGGATTAACCATGGAAAATGCACAAGTAATACTAAATTTGATTGATTTTTATAATGTAGTATTGCATATGCTAAATTTATTAGTCTTTGTATAGTAGAAGTATATAAATAAAATGATTTTGAACAAATATTTAAAGTTTATTGAGTGTGCCCAAAATTTCATCAAGTTTCTGTATGTTATAGTCATATTTAAAGAATTTTCCCTTTTTTATTCCCCTCCATTTTTTTGAATGGTGTGGGATGGGGAGAAAATTCTCTTTTCCTTCAAAAACACCTTTATACTATCCCCCTTAACATCCTCCCTAGTATATTTGAGGTTCCAAAGGGAGCTTAATATGTCCGTTTTCGGTCGGTTATAGTGATATTATCGGTCAGTTTTGGTCGGTTATTGGAGCAAAAAACGTTGGTCAGTTATTGGTGCAAAAGAATTTGGTCAGTCATTGAGAATTCTGTCGCTTGTTTGAACGACCAACCGAATGCTCACCCCTATTGGTTATTTGAATGACCAACGGAATGCTCACCCCTAGAAGTAGCATTTAACTTCTCTGTAGAAATCCAGATTTTACATCACGCTTTTCCTAAAAGAATATTGAGCCATTAAACCATCCCTTACAGAACAGATCCTAAGTTTCAATATAGACATAAGCATATATTCACTATAGACTATAGAGCTAGATTACCTGAAGAATCCTCCATGGGGAATTAGGCCAGAGGATGGGGTCAGAAACTTGAACAGAAGATATTGTTCCCATGAACCAACTTATCCTAGAAGAATCTTCAGTTTCAAAAGCCATCTTGAACCTCAACCCTATGGACCACCTTACAGCCATGGAGGAATTGACAGATGATGCCCTAACACAAAATTCTGGTGTGTTTGCACATGGATAATAGACAACTTCAAATGGTTGCCCAGTAGCAGCAAGATATGCAGCTTCACTAACAGATTGGGGGCTCGCTCTTCCCCTTTGCTTAGAACCCCCAGTAGGAGAATTTGGGTTTCCATTGGTACTACCACTAATCTTCATTCTATTCTCATCTTTCCTAAAAAGGGACGAAAATCCATCAAAGCTTCCCGAACCCATACTCCAATAGGATGACGTGTCGGATGAAAGGTTTCCGCCACCCCTTTTGGCCCTGCGAATTCCAACACAAAGATCACCATTGTCTGCTCTCAGGAACACGATTGAATCGCCCGCAACTAGCTTTTTATGGTTCACGAACGTACTCCAACCTGTTGTTAACAAATGCCTCCTTGGTGTTCCCCGATATATGTGCCTGAACTTCCAGGTCTCACCATGAACATCCTTGGCGATCACTGTCTGGACGGGAGGATCTGCGGCATAATCCAAACGAGGAAATATCGTCTCAGCGCAGTACCTGGGAACAGAAAATCCACCGCCATTGTTAGCATCGGATTGAGTCAATGTCTTAGCGAACGAAGTCGGCTTTTCAGATGAATCGGTCCCTTTAACTGCATCTTCAAAGTCAGGATCATTGTTGTTCGCCACAGGAACCAGCCGGATCTTCGCGTAAACCTCATCTGTTTCGAGGTCGGCCAAATACTTCACGGCATTGACTCTGCAGAGAATCAGGGGAGGCATTTTAGGCAACGCAGAGAAATCGACATCAGCGAACGCGTGTTCAGCGTGGCCTTGGGGGAAGTAGAAGACCTTCGAGTTCACTGGAGGCATTTGCAGCATGCCTCCAGCGCAAGCATGCCATAGCCGCGAGTCCAGAACACTCTTCTCCATTTCCACTGCCTACTTCGAATTCCTTTCCTTGCTGAACGACCTTTTTTCACTCTTCAATTACTGCAACTACAACACTAACGAATCTCACTAAATCACATTTATATCGCAAGTAAGTCGAAAAAAACAACAGAAGATACTGTAATAAATTTCCCTAGCAAAGTACGGCAAACGGTAAGCATAATCCTGAGACATAAATCCATTGATCCATCACACATTTATGAGCATAGATATATGTGCAAATATCCATTTAGGGAGGAGAGAGGAGTAGATACTAGAGATCTGCAAAGCCTACCAGTGAAGTAGCAGAGAAACAGAAGCTGATCAGAGGCATTTTCTGCAAACTGCAAATACATGCATTAATTTCGAAACAGCAATCGCGAACAACACGAAGCAATTAAGAATCGCTCAGCAGACGTCATCTCTATAGCTCATCAAATCGAACCCTATAGTCATTTGCGTGTACAAATAAATAGACACGTCAATGCATTGCAGAAACGGTGGTGTATGAATTTTGTTTTGAATTAAAATTTGTTGGTAAGTGATAGGATCTAAGAGGTGGAAAGTGTCATTCTGAAATCGCAGCAGAGATCATCTGACTTCATCATCTGTTTTCACTTTCTCGCTCTCATACTCTCGTAACGGTGTTTTGCATATTATTTGTATCCCTTTAAGTTTTCTTTCATATACAACTTGAATCATGTCCATTAGTTGTTTCTACAAAGAGATATGCTTGAAGGATTGACAGAAGGTCATCCTGATCGTCGTTTTCAAGCTTCATTCATCTTCTTTTGATCCCGAAACCAATTCTAGAGCTCTTTTGTCATCAAATCTTTATCGTAAACCTCCCATTGACCTCCATAGCTCTCAAATCAATCTCAAATGCTTCTCAACTCATTCCGATTTCTCCTCAAGCGCCAGTGCCGAACTCTAAAATCCTAATTTTGACTCCAAATGACACAAAATTCGAACCAACGCCCGGTAAACACAACTTGAGCTAAAATTGAGACTTGTAACATCTTAAAGCTAGGGAAAACCATCAAACCCGATCCCAACACGCATCAAATGCATGTCTAAATACGGACTTATCACTGGTGTTGGTGTAACACAGGGAGAAGTTTGAACACCACATGACATTTTTTTACTCAAGGGGGTCTCGGAGAGGGGGCTGGGAGACCTGGAGTAATCAGGACTGAAACTCACTCCATTGAGTTTCAAACCCTTTATGTGTCTAGCGAGTTTTGAACTCGAGACTTCTCACTAGATACGGTAACCTCGTAACACCACATGATAAATAAAGTAACATTATTCTTAAATGCGGTATCTCATCTCTTTTGATAAAGTAACACTCCCGGTTTCCACAAGTCCACCTCCACTTTCCTCGTATCATGTTCTTCTTTACTGGTTAAGTTTTACAAAAATGCTCTTTGTACACACATTAGAACACACTCTATACACACTATAAATAGTCCCAAAAAATTACTCCCAAAAAATTACTCCCTTCCACCTCTTTTACCTCTCCCCCCACTTCTCTCCTTTCTCCCCCTCCCTTCTTCTGCGCACACTTCCTCTTCTTTCTCCCCTCCCCCCCTCCTTCTACGTCATTTCTCCCAGCCTCCCCTTTCTCCTTTTCTTCTTGTTAATTTCCATTCCCTTTCCTCCTCATTCTTCTTCTTTTATTTATTCTTGCGCCAGCACTCAGTCGTTTCACCAACACCAACGGCGTGGTTGCAGCTGGAATCAATGCGACGGTGAGGATGAGACGGTCGATTCGCCGCTCCAACAAGAAGCTCCAATACCAGGCCTTAATATTGAGGTAATAATCTATTTCGATTTTTCTACTTATATTTTAGGGTTTTGTTTACTTAAAATTTCTGATTTTTGTATATTAGGTATGGTATAACACTTAATTCTTGAGTACTTTGTATTATTGTAAGAAAAGGTAGTGTTAGTTATTGAAATTTTAGTTCAATTTTTCTATTTCACATTTATGCTCATAACATGTTTGTTGAAATGACTCAATGATGTTTTTTTGTTTAAATCCAAAACTTTTACTTTCTGTTTTGTTAATTAGTTCAAGATTCTGATTTTCTTGTTTCCCAATTTAAATAATGATATAGTTATTTTCCAAATTCTTTCTTGGACTGTTTTTCTTCTTTTTCAAACAACCCCCCCTGTAATTTTGTTTGTATTGAAATTGTGTGTTTTTATATTATATGAACTATTGTTGAACTATTTTGCTTCATTGTTGGAACATATGGTGTTCACATTAACACTTAATGTTCTAGAGGTCGTTCTTTTTTCTTGTCCATAATGTGTTTGATAAAATGTTGCAATGAAATGTTGTTATTTTCATGATGCTTAAATGTTTGGTCATCCTTTTTTTGTGACTGATCATTTTTTGTTAATTAGTTCAAGATTTTAATTTTCTTGTTTCCCAATTTGAATGTAGGAGAAGATGTTGGAGTTGCAGGGAGACAACATTGATACTAAGTTCCATTCCAAAACTAAGTTTAGACATGTTGGTGTAATCTCGAGATTTGCAAGGAGATCATTTGCTACTTTTAGGAATATTTACTAAAATAATACAAAAACATACTCTTGGGTGTACAAGTTTATCAGTACATAAGACTTATATATGTTGTTTACCTCTATTATGTAAGTTCTTGTAATAGTCACTTTGTAAAAATGTTCTGTTGTTCTTATATATAGTTTGTAAATGTATTTAGAATGTAAAATTGAAAGTGTCCTAGAATGTACTACCCAAATGTTACTTTATTAATGAATATGTATTTCCTCTTTTTTGTTATTTATGAAAAGTTTCATCTTTTTTGTAATAAAAGAAAAGTTTCATCTTTTTTGTTATTTATCAATATTTATAGACAATAGCCATTGAAATGTGACATTGCTATGTGGCCTCACAGACAATATTATCTCCTCACAGACACATAGGTGTGCAGGCACAAACAAGATTATTTACTCACAGACACAATAATTTGCACGCCCAAATGTCTTTCATACAAGGGCCAAACAATATATTCATACACAACCAATATAATTTACTGAAATAATAATATGACAACAGGTGTACAAGGAACATAAGAAAAACATGAATGAATTAATAATACATTATGGAACCTTGAATAAATCTAAATAGTAGAAACTGCAGGTAATCTGTTCCATTAGAACCTTGACAACAGGTCATGAAACTCCCTTTGCTCTTCACTATAAGTTTCATGAGGTTTGTTTTCTGTGCTGCTCATTTGTCTTGTCACTTTTCTTAGCACACCCACCCAATTTGTCTCTGCAGTGAGCATGAAAATTATGTATCTTTTCTTAAACACATCTGATTCCTACACAAAGACACAAACACAGTTCCCTCTATACAGTGGAGCTAATCTCCAGGTTCACAGTTTAAGAACTTTAACAATTGAGTAAGACTCATAATGCCAATAGAGTGAGTTTACTTGACAATGAATGATTGTTTGAATAGTGTAAGACCATATGTTCCAACAATGAAGCAAACTAGTTCAACAATAGTCCATATAATATAAATAAAACACACAATTTCAATAAAAACAAAAAATACAGGGGTTGTTTGAAAAAGAAAAAAAAAACAGTCCAAGAAAGAATTTGGAAAATAACTATATCATTATTTAAATTGGGAAACAAGAAAATCAGAATCTTGAACAAATTAACAAAACAGAGAGTAAAAGTTTTGGATTTAAACAAAAAAACATCATTGAGTCATTTCAACAAACATGTTATGAACATAAATGTGAAATAGAAAAATTGAACTAAAATTTCAATAACTAACACTACCTTTTCTTACAATAATACAAAGTACTCAAGAATTAAGTGTTATACCATACATAATATACAAAAATCAGAAATTTTGAGTAAATAAAACCCTAAAATACAAGTAGAAAAATCGAAATAGATTATTACCTCAATATTAAGGGCTGGTATTGGAGCTTCTTGTTGGAGCGGCGAATCGATCGTCTCATCCTCACTGTCGCATTGATTCCAGCTGCAACCACGTCGTTGGTGTTGGTGTTGGTGAAACGACTGAGCCTTTGTGCTGACGCAAAAATAAATAAAAGAAGAAGAATGTGGAGGAAAAGGAATGGAAATTAACAAGAAGAAAAGGAGAAAGGGGAGGCTGGGAGAAATGACGTAGCAGAAGGGAGGGGGAGAGGGGAGAAAGAAGAGGAAGTGTGCGCAGAAGAAGGGAGGGAGAGAAAGGAGAGAAGCGGGGAAGAGGTAAAAGATGTGGAAGGGAGTAATTTTTTGGGAGTATTTATAGTGTGTATAGAGTATGTACTAATGTGTGTACAAAGAGCATTTTTGTAAGTTTTATGGAAGAGATGGGAGCATATTGACGTTTAGGATATATATGTTGTATGCGCTAGGCATTCGATTCATCCAGATTCCAGATTAAGAATGATGATCATTATTTGTATTGTTTGTAGACCTGTACAAAAACGGGTTCGGGCCGGGCTCGGGCCGGGTTTTTTATAAATTTTCTGCCCATCATGTGTGGGCGGGCCCAGCCTGACCCGCAAAAACGAGCCTAACTCTATATCCATACCCGCCCATAAGAGCGGGCCGGGTAGTCCACTGGGCCGCCCGGTCCGGGAAAACTTTATTTTTTTCAATATTATATGATTTTTTAAATACTTTAAAAATAATATTACAATATTTAAAAAATAATTAATACACTTGTAATGTTTATACGTCTTTCACCACATACAAAAAAATACTTACACAAAAATAATAATGAAAAACTATATCTAAAATTTAAAATTTAAGCACAAAGTATTATCTTTATGTACAAAAATAGATATTATATAGGTTGGGCTAATTTTTAAGACCTAAAAATTTAAATTTAAACATAATAAACTATAAATATGTATAAATAAAAATTAGTAAATATAAATATACATGTGTATATGCAAATAAATAAATAAATTAGTATATATAAAAAATATATATATATTTATATATATACTAAATGTAGCGGGCCGGGCTTATCGGTCCGAACGGGCCTACATCCTAACCCAAGCTCGCCCATATCTTATTGCGGGCCGGCCTGGTGGGTAAATATATATGTCCAAGCCCGGCCATTTATGCGTGCGGGCTGGGCGGGCCGGACGGGCCGGCCTGATTTTGTCCAGGTCTAATTGTTTGCCATGGAGTGATTTACCTGATTTGAGCTTAATTTGTTGGTACCTGTGTTTAGTTTTTTGGTGAAGGTAATAGAGTGATTTATCTTTTCATGTGAAAATTGTGCATTTCTCAAATACGATCAACTGTTTTTGCGATTAGAAGTCTCACCAATATGTGCTAAAGAGTAGTTATGTATCTCAAAGAAATCTAATTATAACGTGTATGAAATATCGACTACTATTGTTTCCTATGAACCATTTAAACTTTCCATAATTGATTAAATATAGTCATCTCACATATTCATATGTATATACAAAGTATATCGACTCCGACCCTGATCTCATGACTATTGAGTCTAAACAATGACCCCACCCATGTTTAACAAATATTATTTATATTACTCCGTATGATATTGTACATCTCACATATTCATATGTATATACAAAGTACTAGATTAGCTTTTTATGATATCGACTCCGACCCTGATCTCATGACTCATATTAACACCTCAACCCATTATTTCTTTCTCTCTCTCTATATTTCCTACGTGAGGCCTTGTAATATCAATTCATACAAACCTCACACTATTCACCATCTATCTCTTTCATAGCACAAACTCTCATGAATAATAATATAATTTGGACACATTATTATTATCCATCCTTTGATGCTTTTATGGAGAGTTTGAGCAAAATCACAAAGAATCTAGCAGGACTGATCTGAAAAATTCGGAAGGAAAGAAAGAAGGGTAAAATGTACTAAACACCTCCATGTTATATAAATCATGCACATTTTCCCTTTATGTTTTCAAAAATACACCAAACCCATTTATGTTTTGTAAAATCATGCACAAAGTCCCTTAGAGAGGTGAGTTTAATGTGTGTATATTTGACTTGCTTTTTGGTGCGAATTTTTAATCTAATTTGAGCTTCTTGAATCTTGAGCTACGTAAATGACAAAATTACCCTTTTGCATGAAATAAACAGCTCTCAGTTTTTTGTTTTCATCCATTGTAATGTACTTCGTATGTAGTATGAAAGAGCAGCAAGAAACCTAGGCTGCAAATCCAAAACTAAATATAATGCAAGTTCCATGTCAGGTTCATTTATTTTAGCAAGCAACCATTTTTTGGTGCCTCTACAATCAGGCCGGTTCTGAGTGGGGCAAGAGGGGCGACCGCTCTAGGCCCGAAAAAAATCGGCTCCTATATCCTACACCCGGGTATATGTACACCCGGCCAAACTAAGGAAGAGAGCCCAATAACTAATAAAGGCCAAAAAAAATTCGGTGTCATTTTTGTAATTTAGGCGAAAAATCACGACTTTCGCTAAATGAGCAATATTGTAATTTTAGTGAGCATCCAACCTATTTTATTGAGTTTTAGGAGGCTAACAATGAGTATCACGATCTCTACTTCATATCTTCTAATTTTTGTTCTTTTTCTTATTTTTTCTTTTATAAAAACTTATTAAATTATATTTATAACTCACTCCTATTAATTTGAATATACGAATCCAATGTTATATGATACTTTTGAAATATGCATTGATATGACATTTTATAAATGAGCATAATATAAATACCAAATGAGCATACATAACTTACAAAGTGCACATTGATATGAAAATCGTAAGGTTTGTTAGATGAACATCATGACATTTGAATTGAGCATCAAACCTCACCTATTGAGATGAAAATCACGGGTTTTGTTAAATGAGCATTAATGAACTTTTAATGAGCATCAGACATATTCTATTGAGTATTAGAATTTCAATATTAAGCATTGTGAATTTTGCTTCATAACTTCTGATTCACTCTTTTTTTGTTATTTTTTCTTTTATAAAAACTTATTAAATTATATCTATAATCAAGTCTTATGAATTTCAATATGCGAATCTAATATAATGTACTAATGTCATTTTAAAATGAGCATACAACCAAAACCGAATGAGTATACACAATTTACAAAATGAGCATCGAAAAATTCAAAAGCTCATTTCAAATCTCCAATGAGCTCAAATGTTCATTAATGTTAAATAAATGCACATTTACTTTAAATGGTATACTCAATATCGTATAACACACAATTCATTTTAAAAACCTCCATGAGTACTCATAACTCATTTTAGAACATTATATCAATACACATTTCATGTAAACATTATACTCATTTGAGTATAAGATAAAACTCATCCAAAAGTATTATTTGCAAATACCCTTAATATGATTAATTCTTTTACTCAATTATGAATATATTTTATAATGAGAAATATTAAGAAAATTTATTTATAATAAGTAGTTTTTTACAAAAGCATCAAACAATGATATAATTCATAATTCATCATGATAAGAATGAACATTCACTTTGGAAATTTATAAGGGAGATGAGAATATCCTCATGGGGTAAATTTGAGCTATCAAAATCCTTGCTCACCAAAAACCCTGGTTCAGGCGCAGCTTCCGGTATTTTGCTTTTAATTTTTTTGATACTTTTGAAAATCGGAGTTACTATTAATCGTCTTTCTCAGATGTTTTCAACGGCGTGACCCTCTTGTGATACGAAATTCAAACACATGAACCACTTCGATAAAAAATGAAACACATGACCCTATCTGAAAACGGGCTCAACAAGTA